TGAGACTGGAAAGAAAACTCTACCAAATATATGATAGCAAAAGGAAGCTGAGATCATAAGAAATCTCAGATGGGACGCATGTGATGTCATTAGCTTGGATTTTTTAGCAAGCATCTTATTCTTAACTCTAATCCACAAGGTCTAAAGTACCTATGGTTTCAATATGTCCACCTTTTCCTCCAACCTAAAAGGCAATCCTGAGCTTACTAAATGTTGAATGGTAGAGTGAAGTAAATGGAAAATTAAATTTAACCGACAAAAAAAAAAGTGTCTAAAGACATAAGGAAAACGAGGTAAAATTGCTAAAATCCATCAAGCAACCCTAAATATTGCCAGTCCAAAGAGACCGGAGGAGTAATTGAAAATCTGGACAGCAAGAAACATGAAAACCCTAAAAATTGGTGAAATTTGGATTCTTGAAGTATTATATACATCTGAGTCATAAATTGCTTGGAATAAGTAAACCAAGAAGTCAGAACGACTTGACTCATGAAATGCTTGTATTTACTTTTTAACAGCTAATTAACATGGGAGAGACGATCTTACCATGGCTGCAAGAGGGGAGCCATACATGATGATGTTTAGGCCTGAAGACATGTAGCCTATTACATCGATCCTCGTATCTCCGGTCGTCAAGAATTGAGTGGCTAAAATGGCCGCCGCCAAAAATCCGACGTCCAAAGCACCGGCAAGTACGGCAGTCTTGCCCTGTTGATCAACATTGGTACATGAACTTGATGTCAGCAATGACTTGCTTATCATGCGAGTAAATCTTCATTTGGACCTCAAGAAAGATGATACATTTTGCAAAGATCAGGATGGGGAGGGGGCGGAGATGATTTACATACCTTCATTTTTGGAGGAGCAAAAATGAGGAACAAAGATACATAAATTATTTCAACGACCACACCAAAACCATTGACTGTTGCCACGAGATAACTTCCTGGCCTTGTAATTCCATAGTATGTCCATAATGATGAATTCAGCAGTGTACAAATGTAAGGAAGACTCTCAAAATCCTCAGTCGATTTACGCTTCACAATCCTCCAAAACGTCTTCCTGGAAATATTTTACAGCAATTTTCTCATTTGAGTACAGAATATATACATATCTAACCTTTCAATATTTGCTTTGATGAATCAGTCAGCATATTTCACTTACACCGGAGAAAGAAACATGAGCACTGAGATGATGTTTCCTGCAAAACAATGATCATAATTGATTGTAGTCAAAATTAAAACTGAAAAAGCGATGACGGAGAGAAAATAACTTGTGAATTGTTTAGACAAATGATTACCTATTATGCCAACGAATAAAATTAGTGTCTCCATGTTGAGCAAAACTCTGGCCTGCAAAAATGCTGTTGTGGCCCTTTAAGGGAAGAAATATGTTAGGGAGAAAGTTTGGTAAGTTTTCAACTTAAACAAACTAGAGAACGGATTTCATGTATGTCCTATTCAACAGTAATGGGATATTTCTATGTGAACAAGTTTGCAGGTGAACATGAACACATGACGTGGGCCTATATGTGCATCCCCGAATTTGACATGATGTTTGGAATTGCAAATATATAAAAAGAAATTGGAAAGCTTAAGTTCTAGTTCAAACTAAGTTTTACCAATTGTATACCGAATTATAGTTCATTAATGACTACAAGTAAGATTAAACAAAAATGCTGTACTTTGAATTACAAATATTTTCTAGGTAAATCCGGTCTTAGGCATTGTTTGATAATGCAGTTCAATACTTAAACTTAATATATTTAAATCTTAACATGTTCAAACGTGTTTGATAATTAAAAATAGAACATTTAAATTAATTAAGTAGGTTTGAATTGTGTAGGCAAAACTTATTTTAAAAAAATAATAAGTAATAAATTATTCACTTATCACTTAATGCAGAATGCACTCAAATGTTAGAATTTTATTATTTATAATTTAACGGATTTGGATTTCAAATTTTAGATTTTAAAATTTAAATTTCAAATTTATCAAATGCACCCTTGTGTATAAGTTTATACATTTTTGACAAAAAAAATTATCAGTTTATACAGGGCAATCATGACAATTTCATGTTCTATTAAAATGCTTTTACTTCACCAACCAAATATGGCACAAGAGGGCTCTCAATTCACATGGAGAAATCTTCTCTCAACTCCTTCAAAGAAGAGGTTTCAGTCTTCACAATGTCGTGCTTAAATCTTCTACATGATTTGCACTAAGTCATAACTACTTCCATCAGAAACAGGCATTTTTTTTATTTTACAAATCAATATTTAAAAAGAGGTGACATACTCACTTTACTTAAACTAAAAACAAAATCATAATTAAATTATCTGCTCGTATAGCGCACGTTAATAAAAAAACTAATACACATTTTAGCTTTTGGGGTTCATTGGCTGAATATAAATTTGCTTGTCGGCCAATGCTTAAAAAAATAGCTGGACAAACTATTCAACGTTCCCTGCTTTTTTTTAAGGAAAAATAATGCACCAACATTCAAAAAATAATGCAATGCTTAAAAAAGTAATAGCTCGACAAACCATTCAACATACCCTGCTTTTTTTTTAAAGGAAAAATAATGCACCAACATTCAAAAAGGAATATGAAAGGAAGAAAAAGCTGTTTTAAAGAAAATTTTTTGTAATTGCATCGTTATTTTTCAAAGAAAAATTTTTACGTCTTCTGTGAACATATTTTTCAGTTATCTTTTTATCTCATATATATCAAATCGTTATAATCTATTTTTTTATACAAACTTCTAAAAATAGCAATTCAAACGGAGCATAAATGATGATTAACATGATGATTGCAATAATTGAATCCAAGTATTGCTTCTGCTTGAGATTACTGAACAGAAGAGGGGACGATGAAAAAGACATCACATTTTAGCCTTCTCACGTGTTTTACATGCATTCTCGAACCAGGGACCAAGTCCAATTATCGTTAGGAAACACATCAGAAGTACTAATATTTTAAGATTGCGACATTAAATGTTTTTTGTTTTTACGCCCAGATTTTTTTTTTGGTTTGTGTGGTGTGTGTGTGTGTGTGTGTGTGGGGTTTTACGTGCAGATTAAGATGCCAAAGTAACATGAATCTTGTGGTTCTGAAATCTTACCATATGGTACGGCAAGTCAACTGTACAGTGGTCTACGCCCAGAAAATTCCTTGGCATCGCTTCTATGACTTGTGATAAGTTATTATACAGAGTAGTGACAACTAACAATAGATCTGGAGATAGCTTCGGGAAAAAAAAAATTTCTGGAGAATTAATACTTACTTTTCTATAAGATTATTTGTGATTTTGGCCATCATTAGGCAATTAGGCATCATCATATAGTTTAGCTGTCAAAGATTCCCAAGTATGATTCTCACATAGTTTTGCCTCTAATCTACTTGGCCTCTCAAAAAATGTTCCTTTTTTTTTTTTTATGTTTTACGTAGTAGTTATTTACAAAATCTCTGCTTGGGAAAGTTTCCTGGGAATAGGAATTTTTTTTTTATACTCTCCCATCCCCTTCTCACTTCTAACTGCTAAGCACAAGATTTAAACTCTAAATTTAATAGTAACGAAGGCTCTAAAATCTCGTTTCTGGACAATGGCCGACCATAGAGATTGGAAATAGGAAGATTAACTAAGAATATTATAGGTGTAAAATGTATACTCACACAACTAAGAATGTCTCGAAATAAGTCAGAATATATAATTTTTCCTTTCAAGTTTTGGTGTGATTGATCTTCTTTCCTTGTCAAACTCCACGTACTTGTGAATATATTTAGTTTTGGTGGCACCCCTGTGACAGCTAGACCATTATAGACTTAAATAGTTTTCAAGATAAGCCTTGGATTTGGTTAGCACTCATGTCCATGAAGACGAGATTGTTCAAACTTCAAAGTGGATCGGACAGTGAAGTATTGAATTGATTGCAGCTCAGATCTAAGTAGCTTAGTGATGTCCAATGTTGAAGGTTACTAGGAATTATTGGACCAAAAAAACACTGTAGGAACAAAGGTCGAGATGAACAAGTGAAATCACATTAAAGAATCACAGAGGGATTGTGAAGTTAAATATATTAGAACTGAGGTCAAGTGAGATAAGAGATGTGAAATTAAGGTGTCCAATATAAGGAAAGGTATAAATACCACAATCTCGTAATGTTAATAGGGATAAGAAACGAAAGCCTGTTAATTGCTTGTAACCATTCTTGATCCTCTCCTAGATCCACTCTAGAGAGGTCTAAATGTTTCAAGAAATAAAGACTAGCAGCCAATCTATAACCACTTATCCAAGCACAAAAACATCCTAATTTATTACCAAGATCGAGATAGTCTAAAGCTGAGAGATTTCCTAATTGGGGGAGGAATTGTCCCATTGAAACCTACATAAGAAAGGTTGAGACATCTCAAAATTTTCAAGGATCCTATAAATGTTGGGATTCGAATTCCTGCAAAATAATTCGAGCTGAAATCCAAGTAATGCAAATGTTGCAGATTCGCTAATGAAGGACTTATCTGGCCTCCCAATCAAGTTTTACCATATATAGAGAAATAATTTTGCGTGTCCCCAAAGGTTAATCGACCATAATCAAAGGCGGCACTATTACGTAGATCAAGTTTCATCACATGTCAAATATTTCTGCTGTAGCCAACTCCTTTCCATGAACAACAATCTTCTCCAGTTCAGGATGCCAAACAATTTGATTCGTCAATTAGACATTTCTTAAACTCGAAGAGAGCTTTTCGCTCGCTTTCAAAGCAATTTACATTTGAATATACTCTTGCGTGGAAACCAAGATCAATCCAATCTGCCAAAAAAACAAACCCTTCTTTACATACTTCAAAATAGATGTTTTTCTCCATACTTTATATCTTATAACCCTTCTTCGAGTTATGATTTTTATTTTGACAGCTTTTTTTTTGGCAAATTTATTTTGACCACTTAGTGTTTCCTACTTCAAATAATTCAACAATAATCGGGACATGACTTTGCAAAAGATATCCACACACAAAATTAAAGAAGTTATACTATCTTCAAAGCTTTAGATTACACATGTCAGAGTAAATTCCCATTTACAAAAAGCAAAGGTGCCCGAACCATTTTAAACTTTTGTGCCAAGAAAAATTGTTCAAAACAGATAGCACAGCTGATTTGTTTTAACAACACAAATTGAAAAATCCCATTATTGAACGATCAAAGATTTTCTTTGACACCAAGTTCAAGATCTTTGCTTCCAGTGGAGCCAAATGCATCTTGATTTAATGAAACTGTCTTCATCTTTTCGTTGTTATCAAAATCCTCCATCTGCATCACGCCTTTGACGGGCTGGGCCGATCCTCCTCCTCCTTCTTCTTCTTCCACGGCATCCTTAGATTTTGACGGAGACTTGTTTTTGTAAATGACGAAAAGAAGCAGCTGGGCCGAACCCAATATAAATCCAATTCCATTTGACACCTGATGAACAAAAGAATTTAAATGGAGGAGTAAGCCCAGTGAAAAATAAAAGAAACTTTTTCTGAATCTTCACTCTTGGGTTGATATACGGGAAAATTGTTTAAAACGTCCATCAAATTTCATTAAATGAATTTTTTTTATTTTTTAATTTTAAAATAGTAACTTTACATCTATTATAAATTTAAGTTAGCAAAATTTGATTCCAAACTACATTTCCGATCATTTGTTATCCTGAATTCATCACGTGATTCACACGAATGTTAGATCCCACTTGTAATTAAATAAATTAACTGATTTATATTCATTTTTGTTCCTAAAGAAGTAAGATTTGACTTGATTCATATTCATTTGTGCTCTTAAAAATGTTGAATCAGATCTTTTTTTACCTAAAAAAATGACCAGATATAGGTCATGTGGTAAATTTGAATTAAAGAATGATTGAAAACCTAAGTTGACACCAAATTTTACTTATTTAAAATTATAAGGGATGTAAAGTTATTATTTTTAAAAATAAAGAATGTAAAATTTTATTTTATAAAATTTGGAGACATTTTAAACAATTTCTCTACCTATATGAACATATTTAGGGTTCTATTTCATAACCTAATTCAGAACTTAAACTTAATAAATTCATATCTTAACATGTTCAAATGCGTTTGATAACCAAAAATTGAATATCTTAATTAAATAAGTAGCACTAAATTTCCTAGACAAAACTTGCTGCAAAAATAAGTGATATCAACTATAAACTATAAAAAAATTTTCCTTTGTATTGTTATTTTCGTGTATTTTTTCCTCAGCCTACGCTTACTCAACTATATTTTATATTGAGCAATAGGTATCCAATGCATAGGTTAGTTCATTGTTTATTTGTTCATTTGTAACGGGAAAAACGAGAAAACAATTAACTTAAAAAAAAAGAAGGCATTAGAAAGACTTATTTGTTTATTTGTTAATTTTTAATCAGAAAAGGAGAAAAACATTAATTCAAAATAAAGAAAAAAGGGCAATAGAAAGACTTACTCCAAGATAGATATCCTTTACAAGCACAGCATAAGCAGCCCAGACACCCCCGTTGAGGAATTGAAAGAAAGACAGAAAAAATGGCATGTACTCCACACTTTTCATCTTGATCACAGTTCTCTGCCAGAAGAACAAATGGCTTCACGATTACAAATACAGAATTCTCGCTATGGTTCTCCTTAGGCTAATAAAGCAAAACTGCATGTGTTATACAAATAATAATGAAAGCAGTAAAGGGGTGTATTTTCCCTAGTGATTTTTTCTTAAAAAAAAATTTTTAGTCGAAGGTGATACTCCAATCCTTATAAGGGAGAAGGAGAGAAAAGAATATTCTTACCAGTTAGATTGGGTTTTGAAAACGGTTTTTTTTTCCTTTAATTCCCCCCCCCCTTTTTTTTGCCAGCAACGATACATTGTATAACCTACTCTATCCTAATTTAGGGAGAGGGGGAATCTAAAAAAGATTGTGTTAGGGGCTAGTGGGTATACAGATCCAACTAGACCAAGCGAGTGTTATGACATTACCTTTAGATTTTTTTTTTTGCTGCAGGTGAGGGTTCAGCCCAAGGAGGGACCTAAGTCCCTCCCTGGTGGCCATTGAGCTAAGCTCAGAGGTTTTTAATTCCCCTTATTTATCAACCAGAACCTTAGCTCAGCGGTTTTTAATTCCCTTTATTTATCAACCAGAATTATCAAACCTAAAAAGGGCATTTACATAGGTTGTAGCTTTTATCGAGTTATAGAAAATTGAACTAGAAGAAAGTGAGAACGGGGCAGGAAAGAACCAAAGGACAGGGTGAGCATACCATGACAGAAAGAGGGGATGCATACATTCCAATAGTCATTCCTGTGCATAGAAGTCCGACCGCTGTTAGCCTTAGGCTTCCATGGAGTGCCAGAAGCGTTACAGCAACAACCACTCCAAAGAAACCAACGTCCACTATTGCCACCAGCTTCAAAGACTTAACCTGATCAACAAGATCATTACTTATGGGCACTTCCTTCATAAATGATAAAACCAAGGTAACAAATTTTCTCAATGCATGTCTAAACGTCTTTTACTTGTCACGTTGACCAAATGGTAACCTAGATGCTTATTTTCGGTTTATAATAATTGAGCACTTAGATTGCATTTTACTCTTACCTAATGATACATAATGATGCATGTAACAGTCTAATTCATGTCCATATAAACTGATGTTTGATTAGTTATGCAAGTCAAGTTAAATAGTTTGAATTTAAGGAAATTGAACCAAAGTGTTATTCGAAGGAGTACTAAACCGGAAAATTCGTTTTCGTGCAGCCATTCCGCCAAACCTCTTTGGTCCAACAAGCACATACAAAGTTATATGAATCTAATGTTATCTTGCCAACGCATGTTAGCTTGTTACGTATTCGAATTTTACTATATAAATAAAAATTGCATTAATGGGTCATATGTAAATGCCTCTACAAGTAACATATGGTCTCATGGTTTGGCCTGATCCGTAGTAATGATCAGAGATCGTAGTAATGATCAGAGATGAAACAATCCAAACTTTTTTACCATCCAAAAAGAAAAGAACTATAAAATCCAACAAATTTGACCGCCAACCGGCAATCAGAAGAGTTTTTATTGACACGAAAAATTTTAACATGGAGATTCTGAGGAGTCACCTTTACATCCTTGGGAGCATAAATGAGAAACAGGGTAACGTAGATTATGTGTAAGATAGCTCCGGCGCCATTAACGGTGAGCACAAGCAATCCTCCTGGCTTCAGTATCCCATAAAATGACCACAAACTCGTACTCAATAATGTGGTTATGTAGGGTACTCCTTTGAAATCCTCTATTGATTTCTTCTTAACGATCCGCCTGAAGGTTTTTCTGAAAACAAATATTAGGCATGTCATTATTCATCAAGTCAATTAGCAATTCTGAATAGAATAGAGCAAAGTTTGTAACAGTATTCTGATTACAAGAAACTTAAAATAATTGCAAACATGGAGGAAACATTTTTTTTTTTATAAGAAAAGTCCAACAAAAACAAAAATAATTTTTTGAGAAGACAAGTCTACACTTACACCGGGGAGAGAAACATGAGTATAGAGATGACATTACCTGCAAAAGTACAATTAAAACTTATGATTTTCTATAAGTAAATTGCATGCCACAAAATATGAAACTTGAAGGTTGAAAAATTAGAAGCATACCAATAATACCAAGTATGACACTAAAGCTAGCCATGAAACTAATTGATCAAGGAGATTGTCTTAGAGTAGCAATGAAGAGGGCTGAGGTGAGATTATAGCAAGTGGAGGAGGAATACAATTTATAAAAAAACTGATGGTTCTGGTGGTAGAATGCTTAAGTAAGTTGGTTCTTCCTCCCAGATTTCAATGATTCTGGATGAATATCACCATCCAATTTCTTGCCACGTTTCAATTTTTTGTAGTTTTGCAATTATCTTGAAAATGTCATCTCACCACCATCTTTTTTTGGAGACGACTAGATCTATTAGGGTTTTTTTGTTTGTTTTTTTTTCCTGAATTGTTGGGTGGACATGTCACAAGGAGTCACAGGCCTTTGTGCCTAGGGATGCAAACGAATCGGCTTGCGAGCGGCTAGATTCAAGCTCGACTCGAGCTGGTCGAGCCAGAGTCGAGCTCGAGCTCAAAACGTTAAGCTCGTTAGCTCGCGAGCCGGCTCGCGAGCTCGAGTATATATATATTTATTATTTTTATTTTTATTTTTAATAGTAAAATTACATAAATATCCTTAATATTTTATTATTTATTAAGAAAAAATATTATTTTATTTATTTTTTTAAAAATAAAATAATTATTTTTTATTCTTTTCGAGCTCGGCTCGAGCTCGAGCTTGAAAATTACCAGCTCGTTGAGCTCGAGTTCGAGTTCGATGAAATTAAGTCAAGGCTCAACTCGATAAGGCCAAAGCTCGACTCGACTCGGCTCGTTTGCAGCTCTATTTGTGCCTAACATTGAATATGTTGCTGAGGGAAGCGTACAAATTAACACGGTCTGAATTAGTCAAAAGAAGGTCATATGCGTGCAGCAAAAATTGAATGCTAGATAAAGGGGGCTTCAAGAAATTGTACTAAGCAGGTATTGGCTTGACTAATTTTTCCTGAATTTAGAGTTGGACTTCGATTTGCAAGGAGCATTAAGAAATTAAAATTTTTCATTAACCAAAAATTATAATAAAAAAGCTAAAAAGATTTCTTTCTAATGCAGAAAAAAGAATAATTCATATAGGATAGGTAAAATCATTCTGCACTCCATCACATTATTAGTTTCATTAGGTACATCATGCACCTAATCATATGGCCTTACCTTAATTGGCTTAATCAATAATTAATTTCAACTTTTTGCGCTCTTCTACATCCTAATTCCTAAGGTAATACTCCTTTCTTTAGTTCTGGTGTGCCTTTTGCTAGAAATAGTGCACTTTACCTAATCTTAGTCCCTTGCACAAATTTGGGTAGGGACAAAGGCACCCTATCCATTCCCTTCCTATATTCAGCCCATTAGCACTGGTTCACGCTTCTCACTCGAAGTAGCTGGTCCCCAAGATTAATGATTCTACCAAACAATTTCTATGGTGCAAAATGATTAAAAGGGATCGATTTAGTCCCAGTTAGATGCTTAGAGCAGTAGGAAAATTGTGGCATGGATTTGATGTTAACAGATGCATTTTGCACCTTTTTACATTGTCAACTTTGTAACGTGTAGAGGGTCAAATTCATTCATCTGGCATCTTAATTCAGTCAAGATTTTTCATGAAAAGAATATACAGATGCAACTCTTCAGTTCTTTTCGGGCTTTCCATTGAAGAATCTACTTTAATTTGAAAAATAAAGTGTACAGGAGAAAAGACAAATAAGGATTATTGGCAAAAGACTTTCATCATTCTCCTTTTCTGTAAAGTAGAACAAAACTCCATTTTTGTGTCTGTTCAATTTGTTAAGCAGAGACGTGCACATGTTTTCTTTAGCAAACAAAAACAAAAAGAAAACATCTTTCCATTAGGAAGATTGTTCATTACAGTTGTGGCAAATAGCTGAATAACTTTATCACTTGAACCTTGAGAATACGAGGATTATTTCATACTATGTGTATCAATAATTTGAAGTTAATTGGGTGCAAGTTAATTAATCGTTAAATGAGCATATCTGGCTTTCTTAAGCGTAGTTGTAGCAGTATAAACATGAATATTTTACATTAATCTTACGCAGATAATTAGGTAATTAGATCTCAAAGTTCGTCTTAACTGGTGCTCAAGTAAAAAAAAAAAAAAATGTTGTTACAAATCCCAACTCTTATATCACTAATTAGATGTTTAAGCAAGAAAAGTATTGATGGAAATAAAGCTTTAACAAACAATGAGAATGCAATCGTCTACAAGAAGTAAGAATTACTCATAAGAGTCAGCTAAGATAACAAAAGAGCTCTCCTTTTTTTTCTGAAACAATAAATGCTTGTATTTCTTGTCAAAAGATGTACAAGTGCGAGCAAAGACTCGATATAGCTTTACAAGCGGTAATTATACTACTAAGGAAACGAAAGTTCCTCATCAAAGGTGATGCCTAACGCATAGGTGCTAAGCTTAGAGCTTAGTTGATTCTTATCATTTTGAACTAGACAAAAGGAGCACATATGAAACAAAAGTTTTAATTGAACAATATCATCCACAACAGTTGCTAATCTGATATCCCTTACTTGTTTGGTTCGAATATGGTTGAGGAGTTTCTGATTCTGTTTGATGCTAGAAAAGGAGTAATTCTAGTGCAAACTCAACAAGAATTCAAGCTTGAGGAGTAAGAATTCTGCTTGAGTTTGCATCCAATGATCTCAGTTGCTCTCCTTGATGCTAGATTTTTTGTTGCCACAAGTCAACATATGGAAGCATCTATTTAATCCATGACTAACTTCCCAAAAGGTATATTTTTTTTGAAATCAATTCTCAAAGGTGATGTTTTTCAAATTTCTTCTCAAAGAGTGAAAAGCGTATTTAATGAATGCGTTATTTTTTGAAAATGCATTTTGTGAATGTGTTTTTACATTTGTCTAGGTATTTTTTTTCTAGAACAAATTATTCAATAAATGCATTGTTTAAAAGAGTAAATGTGCCATTTTAGAACTCTCACTATTTGAAACCCTTTTTGGAGAATTACCACTATTTCGAAATTTCCTCCTTAAGCCACCATTGTAGAATATAAAAGGCATATAAAAATGCTTCGATTCGCTATATAGTTTTTCCCTCCAAGATGACTAAGTGAAGATTGCATATATACTATTGTTAGGGCTGTCAACGAGCCGGGTCCGGGTCGGAATTCATTATTCCGGACCCGGACCCGAATTACTATACCGGACCCGGATCCGACCCGTTTACCCGACGGGTCTTTTATTCTATGTTCCGGATCCGGATCCGGCGGGTCCCGGATCCGGGTCGGTCTACCCGAACAAATTTAGCAAAATTTATAATTTCTAATAAAAATGAGAAAAATATATATTTGTAAACTAATTTCTAACTAATGCAAAGAAAAAACCAACTAAGAAAAGAAATCAAATTGACTTTACTCAAATACATCACCCTAATCAAATTATATTGATAAATATATATATTTTAAATTATTAATTCATTTATATCCGGATCCGGGTCTAATACGGGTCGGAATACTATATTCCGTATCCGACTCGTTTTTTTGTTTGACAAAACGGATCCGGATCCGGATCCGGATCCGAGAAATGGAATTAAATCCCTACCCATACCCGCAATAATTTCACGGATCCGGTCCGGATCCGGGTCTAGACCCGACCCGTTGACAGGCCTAACTATTGTCAAAGTACTTAATAAATACTGATTAACATTTATCAAGGTATACTGAGATCATTGGATGCAAATTCAACAAGAAAACACCACGTTTGGTTCATAAGACAATTATACACTACTGTAGCATTGATAATTTCTTTATGGATGATAAATAGGAGCAAATGGATCTTATATGCCAAGAAAAAATCAATTTCTCTTATTGTAAGACGTCGATAAACTCTAGAATATGTAATTGACATTTCCATAATTATACATCCAAAAAAATAAAATAAAGGAAAAAAAATTATATCCCTTCTTGGAGGTTTTAATTTGACATAAAATATACAGAATCGTCACTTCTCAATCCCATGACTTTCTCAATGAAGAAGCAAAAAAGGACCCGAGTGGCCGTCACGGGGACCAGTCAAGGAGCTGACAGTCCTTAACGAAACTTCGGAAGCTGTCATCTCTGATTGGCACTGGCGGGCTCATACTATGAATACTCTCATAGCTTTTGAAACTTTTATTAGTTATCTATCAATTGCTCCAATTTGATGCTGCCCTCTCCGGCTACGTCAATTGAGGCATTTTCCTTAGTTGCATGGACAGAATTGACTGTTTCCTACTTGTTCTTGAAAATCATGTGTTTGATGATTTGAGCAGTTCCGGAAATTATCCCTAGTGCATTTGGCACCTGTAGGTTTGTTGCATGCCTAAGGAATTGAAATATCAACCTTGATTGAGACTTTTGTACGTTATATATGTTTTGAAATGCAAACCTTTTGTAAGACTTGAAAAACCATTGTACCAGTTTAACGTAAGTAATTTACAATTAAACCTTAACCTCGAAGGAAGCCAATAGCTAAGTTATAGGGTAAAATAACTCCGAAATCTCTATATTGTTTGCAAAGGCTAGCTCTACGTAGTCCTCATATTCGTTCCTAGTAAGTAGTCCTCAAATGTTGTCTTTCAGCTATGTGATTAGAGTTATGATATGGAATGTCTTGACGAGTTCGTAGGAGCACTCACTAAAACGGATCCAAGTCTGAATTTTTTGACAGATTAAAGTTAAATTGGAACGATGACTGAAATCCTATCCTCTATATATATATAAAGGAATTGTAATTTTTTTGTTGGGTGGTTTTCATCCGACATTTTAAGGGGCAATTTAGGGATCGTATAAGTATGATACAAGTAATCCACCTCAAAGTACAAATAAGCTATGCTCATTGGAGTATAAGTTTACTAGAGTGCCCTTTGTGAGATGATAATTACATTGGCAAATTGTGCTCATGGGTCGTTAGTGATAGTTTCATTCTTTTAACTACCCGTTTAGTACAATGGGAAGTTAAAAATGTTTAAGACAAAATTAATGGGCCAAAGTAGAAGAACCATTCGAAGACTATTTGTGGACTGTAACCGTAGAAAGTTTGTCTTCTTCATCGTTAAATCTTAAGAAACATTAATTGAGTTTTTCTAACAAAAGACACT